CTCCTAAATCACTCGTACGCACAACTTAAGAACAAATCTGTTCGTACAAACGGTTCTTGCATGAGGCCCATTGATCCTAAAACAAAACAAACAAAAAAGGAAAGAATCAAAGAGTTGGTATGCTGTTTGGTTTTCTCCAACTTTCAAGATATCTCTGATTTGACTAGTCAACTCATATATCTGATATCTACAAATACTTTTAAGATCTCTTGAATTGGAGCCTCCACACAACTAAATGGTAAATCTGACTTCATTTATGGTAGTCAGAATATAATTAGGGATATCTTAATTCACGAATATGTCTAGTCAAACCAAATTCAGATATTTGGAATGTACTGTAGGTGTGGTGAAGGCAATTTTATGTTAAAATGGCCTGCCATAAGGGCACCAAAACAACTTCTGAGGAGTAAAAAAGCCAGTCAGACCTTCTTTAATCTTATCATCCATGGGGAAGGGGTCATCGGGCCGCATGTTGGCCGCCACCAAGATTTGTCTCGAGTCTTCCAACACCTTTAGAAAAACATAAAAGAACAGAGCTTCATATTCAGGCATGCTTTTAAGACTCTGCTTAAATGACCAAAAAAAAWAAAAAAAGTTAAATCCACAATCACATGATGAACTTTGCAGGTTTGAACTTGCGGTGCTGCTTTGAGTTAACACTAAATGTTCCCATCATAATGTTTTACACTCCACTTTACACCTGCAGGCATCAACTGAGATTACAGTCAGTTGGAAATCAGTGAAGAGCCCCACGCTCATAAAAACACACAGAAGTGCTGACATGGTGTTGTTCAGCCTCTGAAGGTTGCCTGTGCTCCATGTCCTTGTGTCGCTCACAGCTCATGTAAATCAAAGCTAACAGAGTAACAAGAACCTGGATATTCTTGTCTTGCCCTTCTGGAGACATAAAGCCTGAACTCTGAGGTCTGTTTTCAATGTGTGTGACGTTACACACACACACACACACACACACACACACACACTGCACCTTAAAAAGCCCTTTGAGCATAATGTCTATGATCTTGTACTGCTGGTTGATGTCGTTCAGCTCGACAAGATTCTTCAAAGCATTCAGCTGGTCTTTCCTCTTGGTCTCAAACAGCCGCTTGTCTGACAAGAGGAGGTCAGGAAGAAACAACACTGTAACACACACACACACACACACACACACACACACACACACTGCATCAGCTCAGACGTCTGACAGCAGAAGGATACAGATCTCCAGGTTGGAGTCGTGTCGTGGTCTCTGCGTGTCGGAGTCTGCCGAGCTGAGGGAGGCAGATGCCAGGGCCAGGATCACAGCGCTCACAGTCCACATGGTCACCAGGGGGCAGCAGAGAGGCACTCCTAGGAACCAATGGAGAACATGCAATGAGTCTTAAAAACAATAAAAATTAAATGGTKCAACATTAAACATCCTCTATTCTAAAAGGTTTGTAGATGTAGGTCGTATCAACCTGGTCGTGCTCAGTAATTTATTTAATTTGACTCGTTTTCTTGTCGAAGATATTTCATCTCAAAAGGTTCTTTAGTTCTACTGACCATTGGTCATGTGATTTAAGGTGCAAACATGTTGAAAATACATAAGAAGAAAATTTAAGGCTGCACTGTAAGTGCTATAAAAGTGATGCCTGAGGCCAACCCCTCTCTTTGATGATATTTTTTCTAGTTTTGGCCAAGATGGATTCCTTCACGCCTGGCTAAAATCAGATTTAAGAGTGTAAATGGCTCTACAGAGGTGTGAGAGCCAGGAGAGCCGGTGGAAGATGGAGCGGGCCATTTCAATTTTGAAGATAAGGGAAAAAGACTCTCTCAGGACAGTTATATCCAGATTCTGGACAGAAAAATGAAGTGTTAAGGAGACAAATAAAAGAAGCTTTCTGTGTCAAACTAGAAAAAAATAAAATTAAACTGAAAACATATGATGCAACAAATCTTATACCTTAAATAAAAGTCCCTGCATCGTTTCTATTTAAAAAAATCTATACTTACCGATTTATCATTAACCATTTTCAACATCCAAGCACAAATATTTTCAGTAAATTTAGAGAAAAGGTTTAAATAGTGCTCAAGGTTTTAGTATTTTTATGCTCCTAAAATAGCAATTTATAAAACCAGGCACACTGTATTCAAAGAAAGATGACACAAAAACACTTAAAGTCAACCTTGAAACTAGGTTTCTGTAATCACAGTATTCATGTAATAAGATGTGATAACCTGACCTGTAATTCTCATGTTTCATGCTGTGTTCGCAACAAGTGGTTTGCAGTTAAACAGCCTGTTTTTAAAGATATCTCACAAAGTGTTTCACAWMGTGTTTCACATYGTGTTTCACATCGTGTTTAACCAGTGGTGGGYACAGCTAACCAAAAATCGTAGCTCCGCTAACGCTACACCGGTAAGATGACTGTAACTTAGTCTGTCACACATCTTCATCTCCTTTCAGGTGGGACGGACGCAAACCTGTTGTCAGTTTTCTATTGGTTTCATTTGAAGGTGGGTGCGATTCAAACCAGCCAATGCAAACCAGAGACATAACTCAGTCTAACTTGTGAAACTTCCAGTTKACCCCTTTCAAAATTAAAGCGTATTTTTAGAAACGCCTTTTGAAGTTGATCAAATAAATATTTTGTATACAGTCATTTTATTTGTTATTTAAATATTGTCAAATATAATTTTATTCATTGTTGACACTTTTAAAGTTTAGCTGCTAAAGATGCTACACGCCACACACACCCTGACACACACAGCACTGCTTCTTAGAGGGAATAGTTTTTATTTAAGATAAATGGCATAAAAATAGAAATGTTACACTTGTGAATTTTTTAGTGGACTTAAAATTAGCTGAACCTAATTGGTTAAAAAAGGCTAAACTGCTGAATGAGAACCTAGTTCCGCTATTAGCGGATTAGCATAAGCCCACCACTGTTTAACATTCATACATGTAAGCTGCTAAAACTCCTCACAGTTATTTGAAGTTTTAATCTATTTTACATAAAGAACACGGGAAGCGTTGTCAGATAAGTTTTTTCTTAAAATATAAAATAAAAGGAAAGAGTCAGGCAGTCCAAACTCTGTCAGGAGTGTAAGGAATGCAGCGAAGATTCAGCACCAAACCGTCTCAGGTCAGTGCAATGATGCAGGTGAATGAAACAGGTGCGACAGGTGGATCAGCGAGTTCAACAACAGAAGGTGTGTTTGTTCTAACGGCCGTTTAACAAACCCTGAAACTGCCAGCTAGACAATAAATCTCCCTCATTGTCTGAACTGAATCCAAAATGTTATTAAATAAAAAGGAGGTTACAGAATCCCACCCGTTTCTCCTGTGACTCGTGTGAATCTGCGACAGAGACGCTGGGGATACATGGTGAATATGGAGAAACAGGGGCAGACTCCATATGTTCATTTTAACACACATCTGACGTCTGGCACTGGTTTAAACCCCTGGAGGAACCTTTAAAAAAAATCTCTGTCCCAGACTCCTCTCCTGAATCTTCCCTCACATCTCTGTCGAAAGCAGCGCTCCGTAACGGTTTCATTTCTCCCCCTTTTTCCCTCTGAGCTTTTCTCTTTTTAATACATCTGAATGAGATGGATAAAAAGCGCGAGATGAATACAAAAGCTAAATATAGAAACTAATAAAAGTTGCTGAAGCCCCCTCTTTTTTTTTTTATCCCAGCTCACATTAGCAGTGAGTAACTGAAGGGAGGGGCCGAAACAACTGTGATGAAGAGCCACGGGATATAACTCACATAATCCATGCATAATTTAGCAGGAGCTCTGCTGATGGGACTATCGAAGGATGGAGGGGGGGTTGAACGGAGGGAAGCCAGAGGTGACAGGAAGGGGCGTTTAGCAGTTTTTAATGGGGTGTGTGGGACGGAGCGCTGAGTCGTGGTGATAAAACTGGAGGAGACAGAGAGAGGATAATGAGCACAAAGAACTTGATTTCTGAGCTAAGTGAATTAATCTTTGCTAGCTTGTTCTTGACTTTTTTTTGAAGGACTAGGAAGTGAGCAAATGTCTTAGGATGTGAATGTTAATTTAGACTGAGTGGTTCTTCCTCAAGTGTCTCACTCGAGTCTGATGAGGGAACATCTCTTTAGGGTGCCGATAACGCAGATRAACAGCAATCGTTTCAACCTTAAAGCTCAGCTTGTTAAAAGATGTAATCCTAACAGCAGCTCCACACATTTATTCCTAGAAATGCACCTTAAAACAATTCCATTTTAATATTTTTAATCCCCCCCCCCCCAAGGTGATCCGTCTTCGCTATCTGAGAATAAATCTGCAAGACGAGTCCTTCTTACMGACTCAGCAGAAACAAGTGTTCTTAAGGACAGCTGAGCAAAGACAATTGCCCATTTTGGAGATCATTTTGTGGACGGCTTCCAAGCTTTCTGAGAAACCTTCCACAAAAATGCCCTTAAGTGCCGGTGGAAAGYAACAACGTATCTGCAAATCAGGCGAGGACGGAGAGGCCGCGGCTCTCCTGCGAGGATTTACAAGCCAACAGGACATGAAGCTCTGCCAGATATTTGAAGTAAAAAAAAAAAAAAAGCAGAAGTTATTGTCACTGGCTCAGTTTAACACAGTCAACACACACAGTGGGCTTCCAGCAGCTGCCAGCGCTCCTCTGCAAGGGCAAAGAGCTGAGGCTTTAATAAGTAGTGTAAGAAGGGCATTACCAGCAGATCAATCATTTCTAATGTGGCGTGGGCAGCGCAGATATTAGAGTCCAAACGCAACCATTAGCTGTAAGCAGGAAACTCTAATTACACAGGATGAGAGTTTTACAACACTGGAGCCATTAGAAATATCCAATAATGGAGGAATCGCATCCATTGGAGCCGAAATTAACGCCGGAGGATGGCTTGTCAGCGTGCCAGATTAAAATGATCTCACGTTTGGAAATAATGAACTGGATTAGAGGTATTGTTGTCATTTCCAAGGTCATCTGGTCATCTGGGATTAGATTAGCCACAAAAACATAATCAGCTGTAGACAAAGAGTATTTCGCTGAAGTTTCATTAAAATCTGCGCAGAGGTTCATGAATCATTCCACGTGTCCTTTGAAACCTATTTTTCTTAAAGAGAAATTTAATTTTTATCTGATTAATTTGTGACTTAAAAGGAGACATCAAACAATATCCACTTTTTTATTCTTTAAATACATTTTGTTGCGTACTTGGCGTCTCTAGGAGTGCAGAAGTTAAAGTTAGTTTGTAATGGAGATGCAACGTTTCTGAGCTGCTATATAGTCGTAAACTTGTCTATCAAACTAGAATGGACCGGTCTGGAGGCTGGAAGGGGGGTGGCGGGGTGTGAAGAGTTTCGCTTGGATTTAAAGAKGCAGCCTCAAAATGAGTTGATCTGAGAAACACCTCAAAAGTTTTGAAAAGAGGGGCTTGTGGAGCTACAAAAAGGAGAAATTCATTCCAAAGCATTGTAGTTCCACTTTATATAGACCCCAACTGTAGGATTTAAATATGAAAAGGAAGGATTTAAAAGCAGGATATGTCTCCTTTAAGTTGTAAAACAGGACATATTCTTCCCTTTCAGACAATCTGTCACCATCAGGGYGGTATTAAGATTTAGTAGAGCCTGAGCTGGTGAGGTGCACTTGGCCGTGTGCTGTAAATGTAAATGAGAAATGGCTCYCGGCTGACCTGTCTGGTAATATAAAGGTTATTCTAATGTGGGGGACTAAAGGGAGCGGAAAGCTTGCTTAAGTCGTGTAAGCAGCGCATAAATCTGTCGGCAGAGGATTTTTTCCCCCCACTCTGCCAACAACAATCTCTTGGGGCAGAAAAGGCYGAAGTTTGGGCTTCTTGAGTGGGACGAGCAGGTTTCAGCTTTGTCAGAGGGGGTGGTGGGAGCTAAGCTGCCGTGTCTAATGAGCCTGTGAGGGTTCCTCTGCTCTGAGCCTGTTGGAAGGAGCGTGTTCTGGATCTGAGTGATACTCCACTGTCCAGTTTCTTTTTCCCCAGCACAAATCAGAGAGCAGTCAGAGAGGATTGAGGGAGTGTTTAGCAGCCCCTCACATCACATCCATCTGAAGAGCGGAGCCTTGAGGTGAACACAGCTCAGATCCTGGAGAGGATGGGAAAACAAAGATGCCCATCAGAGATGTGCAGCAGGAGTGGATCCTGTTCTCCCTCAGGCGGTGAGCCTGCTGTGGGAGGATTCAGGTTCAAGGACTCACACTTCATCTCTCTCTCTCTCTCTCTGCTTGCATCCACACTCTCTCTTTCTGTGCCATCAATCATGCAAAAGCAAATTCACGGACATGCGTAATGGTGATCTCTGGATAAAGACTGTCACGCGGATCATTAATTACAGATTGCTTAATTGATCGCTTCCCCSCGCCGACCCGGGGTTCTACATCTAGTCATGTCTGCACAAATTAATGTTGATCAGTTTACAATTTACACGTTAAATTGTTTTGTAAGATAGTACTTTAAAACAATACGTAACTCAAAGAGGACTTCATAGTTGTTCTTTTTTTAAGTCCCCGATCAGATCAGGAAGAGAGGATCAATCCCTGGACATTACAGCCACACAAGTCGAGCTTCACTCACCCAGCAGCAGCAGCAAACAGCGATTAGCAGGCAGCGTTGGCTCCGGAGCACTTTAACCTTCTTTATCCCCGGTCAGAATGGGGGGGGAATAAAAATAAATTTAAAAAAGTCGAGTCAGGCGGGTTTTTCTTCCCCCTCTCGATCTTCAGGTGACAGCAGCGGGGCGGTCGGATCATTTACATGCGGCTCTCGATGCTCCACTCCACCAGCGCCACGATCGCACCGGCTGGCTTGATATGGACGAATGACAGCGCTGAAGAAGGCGGAGGACGACGACGTGCTCGTTTCCGCACGGACCGTTTAGGGCGACGCACCGGCGTAGTCTCGCAGTTTCCTTCTGCCCTCTAATAAAATGGTTTCTCAGTGAGCCACGTCAAATGTGTTTTCAGTAAAATCATTGTTAAACATTTTCAAACGAGTAGATGCTAGAGTGACATTTATCACGCGGAAACGAAAGGCGGGCTATGCGCATGTGTCTGTTAGCAAAATATCTCATGAAACACTGGACCGATATCAGGGGAACACCGGAAGTAGTCATTAGGGTATTTTTATGTACTGTTTACATTTGGTTTTATCCTTGATGACCACCTCAGCTAATCAAGTTTAGCCAACACAAAAATAGCTAAAACCTAGTCACTTTTGAGCTAAATATGTGGACGTATATATGAGTCATCTCCAGCTAGTAAAGTGCCTCAAAATGATACTTGAGTAAAAGTACAAGCATCTAAAATGACTTTAGTAAAAGTTAAAGGCTTCTCTAAGACTATTACTTGAGTTAACGTCTTAAAGTATCTGATTTTTTTGTACCTAAGTATCAAAAGCCAACATACTTAAATATTAAAAGTAAAGACAAGTACTTAGATTTTCCAAAATGACATTTTTTGGGAGGTGTAAATGAGACATGTTGACCTGTCTGGTAACATAATATATGGTGAATTCCCTAAAAACATTTTTCTGAAGACCAGAATGGTTATAATGTATTAATACGTTAACTTTGAACATTTTAGGATCTGCCATGTCCTGCTGGCTGGAGATTTGTGTCGTGATATCATAAAAAACCAACAGGACGTCAGCAGGATTTATACTTCTCATTCAACCACAATTAAATCAACTCTTATCTGGGAGGTTTGACATATRTTGATAGTGTTTTAACAAGCCATAGTGAAAACAAACCAACACAAAATTGGAGTTACAACTTTCTTACATTATTTYGACATTACTTCTTACATTTACATTAAGAGAGAGCTGTTATCTTAAGGAAATAGAAATGTTTGYGAAACCCTGGTTTCATACGAGCCTGAAGGAGCGATCYACTTTAATCCAGGGAATAAGATTATGGAAGAGCATGGAAAATGAATTTAAAAATGGCAGATTCTTGTATATATTGAAGAGAATGAAAAAAATGAGTATTCTGGAGAAATATAAGTGAATTCATGCTAATTGTTTTTTGAGTTGTCTTTTTTTAAATTTTTTAATTCATTTTTAAATGTTTTAAGTTGTTTTAATTTTTGTTGTATTTTTACTTTTCTTTTGAACACATTTTGGGTATAAAAAAGGGGAGAATATTATAAGATATTCTTATGCAGCCTTTCATTTTATTTTATTTTATTGCATGTTTTTTTGTACTTTGTTAATCTGTGTTACAAATGAAATGAATGAACTACTACTACTACTACATTTGTTTTAATTGTAAGTAGAAAGTACAGATTGTATGAAAATGTAAGAAGTAGAAGTGAAATGTTGACTAAAAAATCTCTATATAAATGAGTACAATTCAAGTTAATTATACAGATACTGAGCAATGAAACTAACTGCTGAAGTCAAACTTGTCAGTAAAATAGCTCATGAATCACAGAACAGGTTTTATTAAAGTCACAGTTGTGTCATTACAAGTGATGAGACGAGTCATTCACTACATGTTCCCAGAACTGACAGATTTTGTTTTCAACACWGAGCCAAAATGGCTCCATCTTTTCTCAGCATCAGATTATCTGTTTAAAGCTGACACGAAAGGAATGAGATGTACATTCTTTAAAGAAAGGCTAGGGTTTTACTTTTTATCTGCTGCGTACTCAGAGATTTTCAAACTTAACTGCAAGTTTGCTACATGAACAACCATGTGTGAAAAATGAACCAGTGAATTAATAAGACATTAACATTTGTTTCCAACTGCTCCAGTAAATAAACAATATACTATCCTCCTTGAAGATCTAACAAACAAACATCAGGAGTGAATACACAGATGCTCCTTGGAAGAAGGGCCACCAAGGACACTTGAACTCATCACTGACATGCTGACTCTCTCAGGAACACCAGCAACAGCTGCTCCTTTTGGCAGCAGAGTCTTCCTCCCCTCACAGTCAATGTCAAACACACTTTTCTCTAACACAGCTTCAAATGCGAGCTTCCGTCATCAGAGGACTCTGATGCTTTAACATGAGATGTGCTGAGGAACAGAAACAACCGAGAACAAGTGTCAGGCACATGGATTAATGGTTTCTAAAGGAACCGCATCATTTCAAAGTGAAGTCAGATAAACAGATGGACACTCCTCCAACATGTCTGAAGACGATCAGTAAGGAACAATAAAGACAACTCTCAAAGATAATCTGTGTGAATTAGGCTTTGATTTACGATAAATTATAAATGCAAATACTGAAACAAACAATAGCTTTAATCACAAATCATAGAGGGTTTATGGGAGTTACATTTTTACTGACCTTATTCTATCAGGACAAACATGTTTTAACTCGTAAATATAATTAATACTAAAAGTAAATTAGTGTTTGGCAGATTATTTCTTTGTTGTAACAATGCCTCTTGGTGTTAAATCTTATAGTGGTCACCTGACTGGCAGCACCTGAATGTACCAGAAGCTCAGTTTAAAACAAAAACAGCAAAATAAGCTTTTTGGCAGAGAAGATTTGTCAAATTTTCCATGTACACAACCCACATACTCAGCTCTACTGCTTATCCCACAAATGCATGTTCCTTACAAATGTGGCACCATTTAAAATGAGAAATAAAAACTTTCCAACAGTATAAGATTTATTGCCAAGAAGCATTGTTACAACAAGGAAATAATCTACCAAACACTAAATGTCCTTACTTTTTGTACTAAGTATAGATGAAAGTTAAGGAAGTGTCTCACTGAACTGTAACTGCTGCAAGGATGGTTTTAAAGTCTCAAAAATGTCTCAAAACATTTGCAGGGGTTCTGACCCTCTTCAGTTTTTCCCCTTCTATTTTGAACATGCTTCAAATAATCTGGGACAYGTTTTCTCAGTATTGTGGCAGAGGCATCTCAAACTGTCTCAATCCAGCTTCCTAAAGYGACAGAGCTGTATTTTGACAGCCGCAGAAGAGTTCTCCATTATCTGAGATTACAGCTCCCAATGTCCAGATATAAAATCAAAACCAGTTTAAGTGGACTGAGGCAAGGAGAAAGAAGTGCTAAGATGGGCAACAAAACAATGTGCACGGCCAAAAATACAGGTTCGCAACTAGTGTGTGAAAAAGTACTCATAAAATCAGGCTCTGAATTTCAAAAACTGGACACAAAACGTGACCACACGSCTCACTGGTCGCAAATTATTAGAATTCAGTGAGACTCCAATTTTTGTCATTTTGAGTAACAAACCAGTCCCAGCCCAGTGAGAGAACAGGACTGTTTGTGTGTTGGTAAACGTCAGCATGACAAAGTAAAGCTCCTTTTATTACTAATTTTGACTTTGCTCCACACATTACACTGACAGACAACAATTAACTGAAGATAAATGACGTTGAGTTTGTCTTATCTGTTCAAGTATACGTGCACACAGCAAATACTGACTCTGTTTACAATGCCTCTGTACGTCGTGATGTAAAACYATGTGTTTTGTACAGTTCAGAGGTGTGCATGAGTTTGTTTCACATCAGATGATGGATACGCGATGCCGCTGGACAAACTGGTGCTGCAGCTCTCAGCGGTCGTCTGTGGTTGGAGCTCCTCCATCACTCTCCTCGCTCTCAGCTTGAGCTCCTCTGTATGGGGTGAAACACGGCTCTGTATCTGAGTAGAAACAAACATCCTCATTGTCTTATGTAAGCAGGGAGAAAACACCAATAAATGTACATTTAGAAGCTGGAATTGAATATAAAGGAAGAAGAAGAAATGTTCAAAATCAATAAAAGCAAAGATGGGAAGAAAAAAAAGGAGTTTGAATATGTGAGAACCAACATGAGTGAAACTACCTAAACATGTTACATCAGTGGGGTCTAATCCTGGTCCTGGAGGGCTACCATCCTGCAGRTTTTCAAAGTTTCTCTGCTCCAAAACACCTGATTTGAATAAATGAGTGATTAACAGGCCTCTGTAGAACTTGAAGAGGTAATTCAAKCACTGAATCAGGTGTATTGGAGCAGAGAAGTAAGCAAAACATGCAGGACGGTGGCCCTCGAGGACAGGGACTGGACACCCCACAATAAACATAAATATACTGCGAACAAAAAATAAACAAAGCCTAATATCCTCATGATTTTAACTGATTCACAGCAGACAGCAGTTTTATTACATACCTCCACTAAGCAGAGATCTCATACTGTCTTTGATTATGTATACTGTACTATTCTTGCAACACAAATAAAAAATGTTTATTTTACCTGACTGCAGTTAGCAGGAACAAAATATTAAAGCTGCCTTTAAGTGACAGCAGTTCCCCTTAAGCAAGTCTGCTTTAAGGAAACAGATTTTTATATCTAAAAGGTAAAGTTATGAAACTGTTCAGTGGTTTAAAAAAAGCAGCAGGAACAACACTGACGTACAAAATGCACTAAGTGGGAAGAGAACAGCTTGGAGTGCATAAAATCTGGTGTGAAATGAAAACAGTGGAAATACAACCAAACAATTCTGACAGTGAAGATCTTTATGATTTTGGGGAAGCAAACAGTTTTTTTTTTTGATAGGCTAAGTGTGTGGCGAAAACACAGCAAATTCTTCTTCAACAGTTTCTAGAACTGGTTTGTATAAAAACACACACAGACGCTGAAAGACAAGCGTGTGCACATATTTGGGTTAAATTTGCCAACAGCTGAACTTACAATCAAATAAAAAGGATGTTTGTGTGTCTTACTGTATTTATACACAAACACAAAGGCTACAAGATGCAAAAATCACAATGAAACACAACATAGCATCATAAATCTGCCCATAAAGCTGTGAAGTTTATTTTATGTCAGTCTGTAGATTAAAGCAGCAAAGATGATGGAGGAGAAAAAACAGGCTGTGATAGTGAAAAATATGGACTGAATCCAGCTTTGTTTAAAAAAAATACCAGTGCTTTTAAAAACGTGTGTAAACACAATGCATCAGAGCACACACACACACACACA